CGAGGGAGAGGCTTCAGGCCGCGTAGAGGCTTCAGGCCGAGGAGAGGCTTCAGGCCGCGTAGAGGCTTCAGGCCGAGGAGAGGCTTCAGGCCGCGTAGAGGCTTCAGGCCAAGTAGAGGCTTCAGGCCAAGTAGAGGCTTCAGTCTGAACCACGGAAGGCAGGCTCACCGGTTTGGATACTGGCAGGATGGTATTGGTTGGAAAGAATTTTCGCTTTTTTCTGGTTTTAACTACTGGAGCACTGCAAGTAAACGCAGGTCTGCAAACAAATGGAGCAGCTGGAGACAGAGAAGAACTGGAGGATGGAACAGGAGAGGGAGCAGTTGCTACAGAGGGCTTTTTTACAGGATTAAAGGCAGGATAGGTGCAGCGAGTGGGAACAGGGTACTGACATGCGGTAGATAGCCAAGTATACTGGGCTGTAACTGGAGGAGCTGGTGGGAATACAGGAGTAGAGTTAGAAGCAGGACTGGGTCTTTGTAAGCTGACTGAGGCTGGGTGCAACAAGTCTGTCCATGTCTGCAGTAGGGGTTGAACAAAGCTGAGCTTACACAAAGCCTGTCTGGTCAATGACTGCACTGCGTTTATACAATCTCGCAGTGTCAGTGGTGTGAACATGTGGAATAACGCTCCAGAAAGTAACCCACATCATCCTCTAATAACCACACCAGGGACTCTACCTGGTCTGCACTAAATGGTGGCAAAAATTCATCCCTGCATTCGGGGGAACCAGATGAAACCAACTCTGCACAAACCTCAATCAATGGCTGCACCTCAGAGAACACTGTGCCCTGATCTACTAGAACATGAGCGAGCCGTATACATTCTAGCAATTCATCCCGGGTATACTCCTTCAGAGTTTGATAAGCATACTCCCTGTCATCAAACACTAGCAGATATAAATACTCAACCTCATCAAGATCCATCCTTCCCATCAACAAGCCAAGATGGCTTCCCTGTGCAGCCACTTCTGGTCAGGATTGGCCTTGGTGTAATGTCAGGGCTCCCAGGTATGACCAGAGGTGTGTGACTGATGCAGGGAAACGCAGACTTCAGATATGTGATAAACAATACATTTTATTAACACTAACAATACAAACATAAACGCAGTGCAATACTAAAACATAACACAGTGCAACCAAACCAAACCAACCACCCACAGATAACAGTATATACAAGCAAGCGTCGTCAGGCAGGCCGGGTCAATATCAATAGGGCAGGTAGGTACAGGGGGAGCAAGCAGAGAATGGTCGGGGTCACAGGCCAGGTTCAGCAGGTAGCAAGCAGCGTAGTACAGAGGGTCAAGCAGAGAGATGGTCAGGGTCACAAGCCAGGGATCAGGACAGGTAGCAGAGAATCAGACAGGAACAGAGAGCAGGAACAGGATACAGGGCCAAGAGAAACACAACACCAAGGCAGAGTCTGTGGGTCTGGCCATCCCTTAAATACCCCAGCATCATCAGTTACAGGTGTTAGCTGGCTGCAAAGTTGAGTCTCTGATTGCAGGGAACACCCGCTGGCCAGCCCTGGTACTGCAGATCAAAAGGCAGGTGAGTCCCACCATTGCTGGCCAGTCCATTCCTAACAGAAAGTCATGTCATGCATGCCAAGAGGCTTAGGGGCAATCTAGAGAAAGTGTACATGCATATGCAGCACATCATCAGAGAGAGAAGCTGTCTCTTCCAGGTTTCACGTAGGTGCCATCCCTGATGACGCACTGAAGCTCCTGATGATGCAACAAAGGAAATGGGATGATGAATTACAATAGACAGTACTGAATTCGCTGTGCATGTTTGTATGTTTAACAAGAATAACACAAAGAGTAAGACCAATTATCCCCTGCTCTTCAAACGACTTAAGACCGACTTACATGACTGGGAGGACCTTCCCTTTATCCTGGTTTGGTAGAATTCATTCTATCAAGATTACCTTTTTACAGAGACTATAATACTACTTTAGGACTTTACCGATCATGGTACCCAAACAGGGAACTTTTGCTTTTACAAGCAGCAGTCTCTAGATTTATATGGAAAGGAAAACATCCTCAGGTTAACAAGTCAACTTTATTTTCTCTAAAAAAGCATGGTGGTCTGGGACTTCCTAATCTTCAGATTTACTTTCAGGCTGCTCAGATGGCACAGCTCTCTTGTACTACCACTAGGGGTTATGTTCCCTTAATGGGTTGGCATTGAGGCCTTATCTTGCCATCCTTATGCTATTGGCGCTCTCCTGTGGCTTCCTAGTTGGTTGCGCCCTCCTATCCTTTGTCCTCCATTATCCTATTCCTTAACGGTCTGGGATAGATGGCGGGCTCGCAAACCTCTCTGCTCTCTACATACCCCGTTAGCTCCTGTTTTTTGTAACCCTGAGTTTATTCCTGGCCTAGCAGCATCTGCATTTTAATGGTGGATAAATAAAGTTTTTTTTGCGTATTTGGGACTACCTGGATGGACTTCGTCCTCATTCTCTCCAATACTTTTTGACAACTTTTCAGATGCCCTCCTGTGAACTGTTTCGTTACCATCAGCTTATATCTTTTATTACTAGTAAACTCAAATTACTCATAGAACCTTGCACACTCACCCCTCTAGAGATCTCCTTTGGGGCTATTGGGAGGATGAAAGGTTGATTATCCACTATCTATGCGTTTCTTGTCGATCCACTTACCAAGCTATCCTATATTATTCAATGGGAAAGGGATTTAAATAGCTTACTAGACTTAGACACCTGGCAGACTACGGCCAATACCCTATCTAAAATTTCGATTAGTACTACTCTTATTGAATCCAATTATAAAACACTTCTTCGCTGGTATCTAGTTTCAACACATCTTGTTAAAATGTACCCATCCGTGTCACCCAATTGCTTTCGACGCTGCGGACAGGAGGGCACTATGCTCCATATATGGTGGAAATGTCCTGAGGTTCATAGATTTTGGATCCGACTGTTTAATTTTCTTTATTCGGTAACGGGAATCAATATTCACAGAACATCGGAAGTAGCCCTATTTCATCTACTGCCCACTGACAGTCTCAAGAAATTGGTTAAATTAATTCTTTATATTTTGTTAGCAGCATGAATTACAATATCTAGATGTTGGAGCCAGTCATCTATTCCACTAGATTGGGTCAAACAAAAACTTAATTGGATCATGATAAATGATAAAACGTATGAGTATTTTTAATAATAACACTTCTAAATTTGAGGTTACATGGGAGCAATGGATTAGGTATATCTCATTTAACGGAACTGCGGCCGACCCTCTCTTTTCTTTTTTTCCTTTTCTTCTTTCCTCCCCCCCCCCCCCTTTTTTTCTTTTTCTTTCTTTTTCCCTTATGTTATTTATGTTATTTTCTTGATTTTTTTAATTTGATTAATTCCTTGTCTCCCTATTTTGGTAAATGGTAATATGAAACTGCCCATGTTTACTGACTAATGGAATATTTGCTACCATATGGGAGTTGTATTTTCTTGTTTACAACATCACTGATTGATACCTCTTATGTGCCTATATATCCATGAACCTGTTTATTCACCTCAACTCGCCATGTAGGTGGGCCATGTTTCTATGTTCTTGTTCTTGTATGTCACTTTTTCAATAAAAATATTGAAATATAAGAATAACACAAAGAGGAAGGAAGGAGGGGACTGCAAACAAAGATGAAAAGGGGGGGGGGGGGTTGAAGTTCCTCTTTTAAAGGGGTCTAAACTATGAAAGCTGAACCTAAAAAAAGGAAGCATAAAGACTAGTCCCCAGAACTTCAGCTGATTCTTCCTTACCATGCCTTGCTCTGCTCTTCCTGTGTGGAGGAAGTCATCTTGTTAGAGGAATGTCAGAGACTCCAGCAATGAGAATAGTAAGCAGCACAAATATCCTGAGACTGGCAGTCAGAGGCAGCAGAGCTTTAGATTTCACACTGCAGATAAACAACAATGAGGCTAGTGGTGCCTAGACACCCTCACATACCAGGAAGTACCCGGCAATTGTTGGGATGGAATTCCAGACAAAAGGCACATTATTTTTAGGGTAAATCTGCAATTAACATATTGTATATGTTGACAACACAGCAAATCTTCACTGTTAGAGTCCAACTACAGTTTAAAGAGTAAATCTCATTTTGTACCACCCCCCTCTCTCTAGATTGTAAGCTCCATGAGCAGGGCCCTCCTATTCCTTCTGTTTTTAACAGTATTGTAATTGTACTGTCCTCCTTTATATTGTAAAGCGCAGTGCAAACTGTTGGTGCTATATAAATCCTGTATTATATTAATATTAACAATAATAAATGACACTGGCAATTTTGTAGCAGTGATCTATAGGAGCTACTGTATCCCTCTCTTCAGAGGTTCTGTTGCTAGGAAAAAAATTACTTGCAATCACTGAAAGTCATAGAAATTCTAGCAATTTGTGAGCTCAGCCACTGAGTATCTAACTACCTTGCAGCATTTGTAGCTAGTATAAGAATTTCCAGCTGAATTAGCTACCCAACCTATCCAATGCAGCTGCTTGGGATCATGACACACCAGAAGTGTGCAGCTGCCTAAATAAGTGTACCAGTTAACTACGACAGCAACTCAAATTGCCAGAGAAAACAAGCAGAGGGATTTGTAGCTGCTAGTGTGGCTTAGCTCTAAGGGCCACTTCACATCTGTGCAGTATGTTTTTAATTGCGTTGCATTTTACCTGTGTCCTAGGCACACTACCAGTAAATGCTAAATAGCATGCGATTTCATGAGTACGTATCAAAGATGTAGCAATTTTTTAATATAATGTACCACACCTACAATGCATGTAAAATACACAGGAGTGAACAGGGCCTAAGGCTGCATTCACACTTGAGCTGAACGTCTTTTGGTCATTTTGCAGGTTTTTTTTTTGTTTTTTGAGAGTTTGTACAGACATCTTTGTGGGAGACTGTGGTTTGCTTTTATTAAAATTAGTTTTAGCCAATAGGAAGCTAGTTTACTAAGGGAAAAATGCACAATATGTATGTTTACACCAGGAGTGGACTGACAACTCATGGGGCCCCCGGGCAATAAGGGATCATGGGGACCCCGTGTCCTTGCCCAAACTCAAAAAAGCCTATGAAAAAAAGTACCAGGGGCATCTCATGGGGCCCCCTACTGACCCTAGGCCCTCAGGCATTGCCCGAGTTTCCAAACGGTCAGTCCGCCCCTGGTTTACACACGTTTTCAGGTGCTCCCATTAAAATCTTTTGGGGCACAAAACATTTGAAGCTAGTAGCTCAAAAGAAGCTCACCTAGATTGTAAGCTCCAAGGTGCAGGGACCTCCTAACCCTCTTGTATTGAACTGTATTGTTGCTGTATTGTCTCCCATTATATAGTAAAGCGCTGAGCAAACTGTTGGCGCTATATAAATCCTGTATAATAATAATAATGTACTATTCCAAGCTACAAGCGTCAATTGACAATACACTCAGGTGTGAAGAGACACCACTGAAAACCAAAGGATTTTGGATGTTGAGCATCTTGAAACTTCAAGCTACAAAACTGAAATCTGGAGGAAGGGGTGCAGCCCACCCCAGCACTCCTCTAGATCTGGCCATGCCGGACTTACAGTGAAGGAAATAAGAATTTGATCCTCTGCTGATTTTAAATGTTTGCCCATTCACAAAGAAATGATCAGTCTAAAAATCGAATGGTAGAGACTGAGAGACAGAATAGCAACAAAAAATTCAAAAGAAATGCATGTCTAACAAGTTATGCACTGATTTGCATGTTCATGAGGGAAGTAAGTATTTGATCCCCTTCACAAAACATGACTTAGTACTTGGTGGCAAATCCCTTGTTGGCAATCACAGAGGTCTGGCATTTCCTGTAGTTGGCCACCAGGTTTGCACTCATCTCAGGAGGGATTTTGACCCACTTCTTTTGGCAGATCCTCTCCAAGTCATTAAGGTTTGGTGGCTGACGTTTGGCCACTCGAACTTTCAGCTCCCTCTACAGATTTTCAATCGGATTAAGGTCTGGAGACTGGCTAGGCCACTCCAGGACCATAATGTGCTTCTTCTTGAGCCACTCCTTTTTTGCCTTGGCAGTGTGTTTTGGGTCATTGTCATGCTGGAACACCTATTCAAAACCCATTTTCATTGCCCTGCCTGAGGGAAGAAGGTTCTCACCCAAGATTTGACGGTACATTGCCCCATCCATCGTCACTCTGATGCGGTGCAGTTGTCCTGTCCCCTTACCAGAAAAACACCCCCAAAGCAGAATGTTTCCACCACCATGTTTGACAGTGGGATTGGTGTTCTTGGGGTCATAGGCAGCATTCCTCCTCCTCCAAACATGGCGAGTTGAGTTGATGCCAAAGAGCTTGATTTTGGTCTCATCTGACCACAACACTTTTAACCAGTCCTCCTCTGCATCATTCAGATGTTCAGTGGCAAACTTCAGATGGGCCTGGACATGTGTTTTCTTGACCAGAGGGACCTTGCGGGCACTGCAGGATTTCAATCCTTGTCGACGTAGTGTATTACCAACTGTTTTCTTGATGACTTTGGTCCCAGTTGCCTGTAGATCATTTACAAGATCCTCACGTGTAGTTCTGGGATGATTCCTCACTGTTCTCATGATCATTGACACTCCACGAGGTGAGATCTTGCATGGTGCACCAGACCTAGGGACACTGACAGTTGTTTTGTGTTTCTTCCATTTGTGAATGATTGCACCAACTGTTCTCACCTTCTCACCAAGCTGCTTGGTGATAGTTTGGTAGCCCAGTCCAGCCTTGTGTAGGTCTACAATCTTATCCCTGACATCCTTGGACAGCTCTTTGGTCTTTGCCATGGTGGAAAGCTTGGAATCTGCTTGTTTGATTGTTCCTGTGGGCAGGTGTCTTTTATACAGGTAACAAAATGAGATTAGCAGCACTCCCTTTAAGAGACTGCTTCTAATCTTAGCTTGTTACCTGCCTGAAAGACACCTGGTAGCCAGAAATCCTGCTGAATGATAGGGGATCAAATACTTCTTTCCCTCATGAACATGCAAATCAGTGCACAATTTGTTAGACATGCATTTTTTTTTTTTGAATTTTTTGTTGCTATTCTGTCTCTCAGTGTTACAATGCACCTACCATTCAATTTTTAGACTGATCGTTTCTTTGTAAGTGGGCAAACATTCAAAATCAGCAGGGGATCAAATACGTATGTGCCTGGGCCACATGCTTAACTCTCTTGGGCCATGGGGTTAAACACCCCTGAAAAAGTTATTTTCTAGTCTAAATTATAGTAAATGAAGAAGACACAGAACTTTATTTCTCAGGGACTGTTTTTCCTAGGGTTAAAACATCAATCAGAAACTACTGATAAATGGAAATTATATGTCTGTGGCTTACCCTCTACCACCTTTCTAAACCTGAGTACCTACTAAGGTATGCCAAGAAAATGAACAGTGCAGATCTCATCGGCTAGATGTTCACTGCTCCTTTAATCACATTCATCCCATCTGTGCTCTCACTGAGGTTAAATTTGTACGTTTGGCAAGGTTCTAAAAAGAAAATTTTGTGCTGAGCTTATCCAAGTCTATAAAAGCAAAAGGGCTAAAAATATATTTGAGAAGAAAAACATTCCTCTTAAGTTTTATCTGGCACACTTATGTCAACTATGAGGCCACTGTGGGCAGAGGAATAGCGGAGCTGCAATGGAAAAAACAATTCCTCAACACTTAGAAGATTGGCATGAACTCCTCTGGTTTATAAAGCACATCACAAGCTCTGTTTCGAAGATTAAAGTCTAACATAAACTGTACCTTTAGGGAAACGAAAAATACTAAATTAACAGCGGTACCGGTTAGCTAACGGCAAAAGCTGTCAACACACACCTAAAGTGGATATGCAAATGTTTACTTTCTGATAGCTGGTATGCACATAACCATAGACACATCACTCTTGGCAATCCCAGGCCCGGTGTGTGTTTTTTTTAATAGTTTTATAACCAGTGCAGCAAATTTTGGCTATATATACGTATACATACACACACACACTATAAATAATATTTTTTTTTCTAAACAATTTGCTGTGCTGATATATATATATATATATACACACACACACACACACTATATTATCAAAACTTTGTGGACACCTGCCCATCACACCTACAATATACAAGTTTCTTAAATGTGCCATTCCAAAACCATGAGCCCCAACACTTTGGGGCTATAACAGGTTCCACTGGAAAGCGGTCTGTGGGAATTTGGCCCATTCATTCAGTAAAAAGAGTACTGCGATTGAATGAGAAAGTCTGGCACGCAATAGGCATTTGAGTATATCCCAAAGATTTTCAATAGGGTTGAGGTCAAGGCTCTGTGAAGGCAACTCAGGTTCCTCCACACCAAGCTCATCAAACCATATCATTTTGGACCTGACTTTTGGGCATAGTCATGTCCTGAAACTGTCATCACAAGGTTGGAATCACACAGTTGTTTAATATTTCTTTGTATGCTGTAACATTAACAAGAACCTTCATTGGAAACACCTGCAGTCAGGTCAACTGTCAGTGTTGCTTGCTGTTCAGGAGCTGTATGTAAACAGCCTGTTGATCTTCAGTTAATTTCACAGGGCATTTAAACATAAAGCTTGCTTCAGCATGGCATTCCAAAGGTCAGCCACCGGTGACAATCATAGCCATACCACTTGAAAGAGACTTTTTAGGTATATCCAAACTATATCTAAAACGAAAGAGGGAAATCATATACCGTTCACAGCTTTATTTACATCACCTAAAATGGTTTTAATACTAAAACCACAGACTCTGGGTGATACATCTGTTTCTGCATTTTCAATTTTTCACAATAGTTAAAGTGGTTGTAAAGGCTCAAGGTTTTTTACCTTCATGCATTCTATGCATAAAGGTAAAAAAACCGTCTGTGTGCAGCAGTACCCCCATCCACCTCAATACTTACCTGAGCCCCATCAAGATCCAGAGATGTGCACGACAGCCTCAGCTGTTCCAGGTCTCTGCGTCCTCATTGACTGAGACAGCAAGCGGAGCCATTGGCTCCCGCTGCTGTCAATCACAGCCAGTCAGCCAATGAGGAGAGAGGGTGCAGGGCCAAGCGGTGGCTCCATGTGTGAATGGACACACTGAGCAGCGGGTGCCCCCATAGCAACCTGCTTGCTTTGGGGGCACCCGACAGAAAGGAGAAGCCAGGAGAGACTGAAGGGGGACCAGAGAAGAGGAGGATCTAGGCTGCTCTGTGCAAAACCACTGCACACAGCAAGTAAGTATAGACATGTTTGTTATTTTACGGGGGAAAAAAATTAACCTTTAGAATCGCTTTAAGGTTCATAGCCATCATTTCCCAGGTCTACCTTGACACTATATACAATCCAGGATTTGCAATAATACTTTTTTTTTAGCTTACAAAATAACCAGTAGATTGCAGTAAAAGGAAACTACAGTTCCCATCAACACAGGGAATTGTAGTCAATGTTGGCGGGTACACTAGGCCTGTATATGTTGAATGTATGTGAGAATCTCAGTTCGCCCACCACTGCAAGTGTGACTGAATTACATTACTAATTTCTGGAGAAAGAACTACAGAAGAGATGTGCCAACACCAGTGGCTGGGGGAATAGGAAGAATAGCCGCCACTGGTCTCTCAAACAGGAAACCATAGAGAATTAACAGTTTGATTTGAAAATTAATAGGCTATTTCAGAGCAACTATTGAGTGAACCAGAATATGGATGAATATTCAGTGAGGTGGTGTGGTCGCACTTGGCATGTGAGCAGACGTGCTTCACAGGGCTCCCTGTCTGATCCGTTTACCGATCCTCTGCCCAGCTGCTGATCAGCTCAACATTGGCTCTGCAGCACCCCGGCTCTCTGCTGATACCAGCTTTGCTTCTCTGCCATGCTGAACCTCAAATCAAAGGAAGAAGCAGTGGCCCAGGAAATCCATTATAGCGCCGCTGCAGCACAGCCTCAGCATACACCACAAGGCTCTGACAAACTTAAGGGAGCACAGACTAAGCAAGGTACCACTCTCTGCCCACCTGGTAAGAACAGGGATATTCTTTACTATGCTCATAAACTCCCTGGGAATCAACAACAGGGTCAGGATACCACAGAAACCAAGGAGGAAGTCTCAGGGTCCCTGCCAGCCCCTAATTCTATTATAAAGGGCCCTGGTCTGGAAGCTCTGCAGACCTCTGTTGAGGAGCCTATGGATACCCCTGCAAACACAGCTGAAGAGGAAGATCAGCCTACCCTGGGTGCAATATTAAAGGCTGTTCATACATACGTGTACTGCTCCTGATAAATCTGTGCAATTAGGGGGATTACAGGAGAAAGTAGCCTTGATAAACAAGATTTTCAGAAAATGCAGGAATGCAATACGAATGCAGGGCCGCATTAGTTAGCTGGAAAATAGACTGCCCCCCTCATTGCAGAGTCTCATTCAATGGCCCGGCTAGCGTAAGATGCCAATGAGTGGGCGGATGACAATGAGAATAGACCAAGGTGTAATAATATTTGTATTGTTGGTCTCAAAGAAAAATCTGAAGGGCGGGACCCCAAGGAGTTTGTGAAAAAATGGCTGCTGGAAGTGTTCAGCCACAACACCTTTATACTAATATTCGCGGTCAAGAAGGCCCACCGTACTCCAACACGTGCTCTCCCGGGAAATTTTCCCAGGCCCATCCTGATTCTTCTCCTTAACCAGAGACCAGGAAATTGTGGTCCATCTAGCCAGAGAGCGGTGTACATCAAATACAATGGTGTTATAAATAGTGAATACTTGTGAGCTATTATGAATGAGGCATTCAGTGGGTTATAAATAATTATCTACTGATATAATGTGCTTGGTGCGCTGGCACTCACACAGACTCACTTACTAGTGTTTATTCAGTAATAAAAATATTAATAGTGCCGCGCTCCTAATGCTATATATATAGTTAAATCCAGTCTACTCTCATTCCAATAAATATATATATTGAGACCTAAACGAAATCCATAAATCACTATAACTTGTGAGTAAAATCAATTGTTAATCACTGTGACTGGTGAATCAAAAAATGAATAATTATAAATAAATCAAAATTCTTAATAAATTAGGCTGATATCAATCAATAGAAAACCTTAATTAAATGTGACTAATAAATTAATTAAAATTAGAGTGTATATAAATACTTAGTGCCACTCTCATCAATCCATCAATATTGTGCAAAAACATATATAAATGTGCAAGTGCAAACAATATAATACATGAATAAATAAAGTCTTTTTAGGTAAGTGCAATGTGCAGGTGAATTCCTTATTCCCTCTCGCCAGGTGCCTTGTGATCTCCCTATGCGCTCACCTTAATATTTGCCCAAATAAATTCAGGCAAATAAGCTTTTAATCCTTCCAGGATTGATGGGATATTGCTCATGTATAAGATGTTCCACGAGGTGGGTATAGATCTATTATGATCCTCCTGTGCTCTCCTTTTTCTCCTTGTGCAGCTGCTCATAGATAGGTGTTAAAACCAGCTCTATAGGGATCTCCTTGTTCCCCTCCTGGGATCACCTCCTTCTCATATCCTCCTTTCACCAGTGTGGGGAATATGGGTCAAATGAAGAAAAAAAGAAAAAAGACCATGGTGCCTTATCCTTTTGTATAGCAGAAATTTATTACTGCCAGTAGCGGTATTACACAGCGGTATATGGTTCTTTGGTGATCCAGGACAGCATATATAAACACGGTCAGCAGTGAGTGAGCAATACTCTGCCTCTGCCTCTACCTCCCTGCCTGCCTCTGTCTGCGCTGGAATCGCCGAGCCTCTCCGATGCAACATCGTGACGTCAGAGCCCCTCCCCTACGCGTTGCATCACAGGGTCACGTGACTTCATCAGGGGGAAAATGATTTTACTCACAAGTTAAAGTGATTTATGGATTTCGTTTAGGTCTAAATACAATGGTGTACCTGTCTCCTTCTACCCTGACTTCCCAGCAGAGGTACAGAAGAAAAGAGCTAAATTTCTGGATGTCAAAAAATTGATGCAATGGCTTTCCCTGACTTATGCTATGCTGTATCCTGAATGCATGCAAGGTGCAGGATAATCTGGGGTGCTCAACTGAACACAGCCTTCTGTCAGTGCTTCCATTTTACCTCCTGACCGGGGAGAACTCCTACTGTATACAAGTACAGTCCAGTTCCTGTGATTTATTGGAATAATTGGCCTTCTACTACCCACACTAGCCGTGTCCCACTGAAGTGCAATATATGTTGCTGCTCTGTGGATGTATGGACTGCGTAGTACCTGGCTAATGTTACTAGTTCTTTGCTTTACATTACTTTCCTTTTGTGGCCTGTGCTTACCGCCAGGGGCAGACTGACAACTCATGGAGCCCCCGGGCAATAGGGGATCACGGAGCCCCTATGTCCTTGCCCACACTCAAAAAAAATCCTATAAAAGGTATCAGGGGAATTTCATGGGGCCCCCTACTGACCCTGGGCCCTCGGGCAGTGCCCGAGTACTCGAATGGTCAGTCTGCCCCTGCTTACCGCCCAGTTGGTGGTGTACTTGAGTATCTGACATATTCAGTGAAGGTAGGAAATCAGCAACAGGGACATGAAAAGAATTTTTATCCCAGAGTTAATGGTACAAGAGGCAGAGTTAGTGGAAAAAAGCTTGGACATAACACCAGTCAAGCAGAATATTCTACAATTTGGGGGGTGATTATATCCTACCAGACCCAGCATGGCTAGGAAGAACACATATTTTATAAGTTCATATTTTGTATGGCACATATACCTTTAGCGCAGTATTTCACAGCAAACACACTAAATGTTAAATGTTTCTATGATACCATATTTTAATTACTGACTGAGACAACATATTAGTTATTCATTTCGCTCAACTGCATAATGTTTGTAGAGGAAAAAATTTCTACTTGAATGTGAAGAGGGTTAAATGGGTTCACAATTTTAGCGATGTTCCACAGGGGCTGTCTCTCTTGTCTTGAGTATTGCAAATGTTTCTCTGTAACCTGAAATAACTTTTAATTTCTATAGAACAGATTTCAAAAGGCTTATATTGTACTATGTAAACTTTGCCCTGTAAGTACAAAACAACAAATTGTTCTACATTACCAGACTAATTCCAGATAGCAAAGTACGTTCTGAATGCGGTGCAAGAAACCCATACCGAATGTGGATTTCCTGCATGGCATTCTAGGCGTTGGACGGGCCTTAAAATTCTTCACAATCTCGAGGCAGCTCATTCTAAAATGTAATGAACAAGACAAATAATTTTTCATAACGTAGCAATATCCACACATGTAGGACACTCAACATTAGAGGTGATTTATTCTTTCCTCACTCAGCTAAAGTGACCCCAGTGCTTATGGAAAGGGGAAAACAAGGATGCAGGTGGATGACACCCTCTTTCTCCTCCAATTAGAACAACAGTTGATAGGATGCCAGCAGCTGGTCCCCACAGTGCCTAAGGGTGTAATGCTGCACAATAAAAACCTGTGGTTCATGTAACTAAAAGGCAGGTTTCATCCACTTGCTGGCTTGTTGACAATTTTTGGGCAATTTTTAGGCATTTTGCCACCTCTCCCCTGAAGAATCAAGAAAGCACCCAGGTTGAAAAAGGATATTCTACCACCTGCTGTATAATATAAGTTAGAAGTCAACATGATTACACTATACCAAGATGTTTTATTCTGGCTTGGGCTCCTTTCAGACGAGGTGGACCAGCAGAGCGGGGGATCTTTCTCTGCTGATCCCCACTGAGCAAGAAGATGACGTGTCTGTGTCCGCTCCACTGCTGCAGAGCGGATACAGACACAGCTTGCTTTTTTCTATGGGCCAGTCAGATGGAAACAAACCTCCTGTCCGTTTCCACCTGACTGTCAACCGATAC